GCGGTTGCTGGTTTGGTTCGGGCCCGACAGTCAGGCTTGGGGCAGGTTCGGGACTATTATGACATGGCTGCACGGTCCGGCGTTGACACGATACAGCGGACTGGCATTAGTTTTCAGGTTCGGGACAGACTCGACGCCGGTATGGTGCAGACTATTCAGGTTCGGTATTGGCATGGTAATGGTTTGATACTCCCGAGAGGCCGCGGCATTGCACGGTATCAACATTTTCAGGCTCCGTATTGGTTCGGCAACGGTATGGTACACACCACTGCATTATTTTCAGATATTGTTTCAGCAACGGTACTACAGGTTCAGTATTGAACCATCCTCGATACGGTGCAAATTATAGTAGACCTCGATGTTTATTTCGAGTTCGTCATTGGTACGGTAACGGTGCAGGTTGCTGCAGTGTGCCACTCCGCTATTTTTGGTTGAGGCCTTAGGACCGGAGGTATGAGCTCCCGGTGCTGCCGCAGGTATTGCTGGGTATCCATGGACAGTTTCCGTACCCTCGCTGTTGTAGACCTGTGGACCCGGGTTTCCAGTAACCCATGACCAGCGACTGCAGTCCGGTTATAGCCTGGGTGTTGGGCCTGGTACTAGGGGTACAAAGAGTGCTAACCCTCAGCAATGAACAGGTACCGCTGAGGGCCAGGAATGAGCTCGTGGGAGCTGGGACCGAGACAGGATATAGGACAGACCACGGGAAAGCAAAGGGGACAGGCGGGACAGTATCCAGAGGCGAGCAAGGCGTACACAGCGGACCCCAACTCGTTTCAGGGAGGAGGAGCGGAGCGCCAGGCGTGCATCGCATACACTCAGTTGACTTGAAGAGGAGCATGATGGGGCGAAAGGGGGGCATTGGGGGAAGCGTATCGGGAGTACGCAGCGAAAAGGCAAAGGTGAGAATTGGAGAGTACCTGTTAAAAGGGGGGSGGGTAAACGCACCCGGGGGGCCCAGCGGTGTGTGCGCTTYTGTCGTAGCGGGAAAGTCCTAGTTGGTAGYCATTAGYCAGACGGGGGTTCCCCGGGGGGGATTTTTCGGATAGGGAGTGGACGAGAGAGAGAGTTGTGGGGAGAGTTGTGAGGTATGCACGAACGGGGTGTGCACGGCGTGCATGGTGTTCCTCACGRGATCCACAGGTGATGGGAGGGGAGTTCCAGTGTACACAGCGTGCGCAGCCAACATACCGGTTTGTGCGAGCTCACGGGACGACGCGCGAGAAGTCCGCAGCGATGGAGATCTTCTGGAGCCCGTTCTTGTGAGCAAGCAGACTGCTGCCAAGAGCGTTCGTGCAAGCTCGTGATTACCCCAGCAAGACCAGGTTCATGAGAAGGTTGTTCTGAGCATCTGAAGCCTGCTGCAAGTGCGCAGGGGTCCGGTCACAATGTTAATGCACGGAGAACTGCGTGGTGTGGTGAGCCGTTGTCGGCAGACAGGGACACAAAGACAAAAATTGGGCTGCCTGCATTTATGAGCATCATATATGGTCTATATGAAGCCTAATCCCTCACTAAGCCTTCCCAACGCCTCCTAATTTATTCGATACTATATGTCGTCCCAGAATGGTCAGGAGAGCAATGATGCCATCGCCAGGATTGAGAGCTGCTGACATGTCAGTCATCTGTGGTAATTCGGAGGCCGGCCGATGGACTTCATCAGCAGACATTACATGGAAGGTGCAGCCTGGCTTAGTAGCTGGAGAAGACAGGGGAAGAAAAATGGCCTCTATCTCAGCAACCTGTAGTAGGACAAGGTACTGCACGCTGAGAGAGGGAGAGCAGGCTCACCCAGAGAGAGAGGGAGAGGACTGAGAGAGAGAGAGAGAGAGAGAGAGAGCAGGCTCACGCAGAGAGAG